CAATCAAATAAACATAAAGTAATGTACAATCGATATAATATACATTTAAAAAGTGAAACTGGTATAGATGAGAAAACAGTAAAACTTCCAACTGCTGAAGAACCAACTGCTGGAACAACTGGTGATCAAAAAGTGCCAAAACCCAAAGAAGAGCCACAAGAATCAAATACAGAAAGTGGAACACCAAGTAAAAAAAATGAACAAGCAATTAATGGCAAAGAAAGTACTGGGACTAGTGTTGGACAAGAAAGTAAACAAACAGTAGCCGAAGGAGAAAGTTCAATAACTAAGGAAGATAAAGGGATAGGAAGTGGTGTAACAGGACAACCACAGACAGGTGATAAAAAACCAGAAAGTACTGGAACAAAAACAGACGCACAAGGAGTCACTGAAGCAGAAGGCACAGGAAGTAAAGTTTCAGGAGCTGGTAAAACAAATGACAATGAGGGTCCAGAAAAAGTTAAACAAGAAATTGAAGAAAAAGATGGTAAAGCAGCGGATAGTCATGACAATGGAAATACAAATCCAGTAACAAATACAGAAACTACAGGAAATGGAGATAAAGGAGACACTAAAAAAGATGAAGCAGTAGATCCTAACAAAACAGGAAAAGGAGAAGTATCTACAAAAGATAGTGGAACAGGAAGTTCTGAACAAAGCCAACAGGGTGAAAAACCTGGATCAACTGATAATAATGAACAAGGAAATAAGGGAACGGATGGTTCTAATACATCGGGGAAAGAAGGGCAAAATGGAAGTGCTGGAGAAAATGGAAAAGGTGATAAAGGAAGCACAGAACAAAGTCCAAATAATGAAGAAAAAGAACAACCAAATAAAGATGGACCAACTGGAGAAGATAAAAAGGATGTTGATAAAGGAGATAATGAAGAAAATGGAAAAGACAGTAAAGGAACTGATGAACAAAAAGATGGAATGAATAATCAAAATGGACAAAAAGATAAAGGAAATATAGATACAGACAATAAAACAACAAGTAGTTCTGATAGTTCAGAAAGTAAATCAGATGATGATTTAAACAATCACAAGAACATTGATGGTGAGTTGTGTACATTTATTATGCTTGGTATTGCTGTTATACTTTTATTCTTCTAATTGAAAATATTTATTTTTATTTATAATTTTAAATAAAATGTTTCAATAGCTTTTGCATCATCATTGTTACCACTTATAAGTTACTTTTTCATTTTTTTTGTTAGAGTTATAAGACTAAAATGATGATGTACATTTCAATATTTAAATAAAGTATTATATTCTTTAATATAATACAATTTATTATAAGTCCCATAACCGGATGAGTATTTGAAAGAGAAAGTTTTCTGGTTATAATAAATTAAGTAATATTCTGAGTCTCAACAAAAAACTAATTGACAAGATGACTTAAATAAAATATATGTAATTCAATTATTTTTATTAGTCAGACTAAAACTCCTATTTGAAAAAGACTTGTAATAACATAAAACATGAAATAATATTTTCGAGTAAACGTCCTATTAAAACAATTCATCATCCAAAATATCTTCTTCATGTTCATCTTCTTCATGTTCATCTTCTTCATGTTCATCTTTTTCATGTTCATCTTCTTCAATCCAATCTTCTTCACTGTTGTACTGAGAGTTATTATTTTCTTCAACCCCTTCAATGTTAACTGTTTTAAAACATTCATTAGGTATTTTATCATTTTTTAATAATACACACCCACTGAAACATTTATCACCAAACTTTTTAATTGTAGAAGGGATTTCAATTGAAGTTAGACTAGTGCAATTGTCAAAACAATATGGTGGTATTGAAGTTATTGAAGACGGAAGTACAATAGATTGAAGATTGAGACAATCTTTAAAACAAAAAGACCCTATTTCAGTGATATTACTTGGAACAGTAAGTTTAGTAAATTCAATACACCCACCAAAACAACATTCATCTATTCTAACTATATTTTTATTCATCACAGCAATAAGTCCATTTTCGATTCTTTCTCTTCGACTTAATGACACTCTTTTACAATTAATTCCTTTTGAATGAAAGTATTTGTATTGTGAATAAGATGTTTCCGTGTAAATTGATTTGACACGAGAACCATTAATTGAAATAATGTTAAGTGAAGCACAGCCATCAAACAAATGATCTCCAAGTTCAATATGTTCATTTTTCATTATAACTTTTCTCAGATTTTTACAATCATAAAAAGCCCCAAATTCAATCAACTTTATTTCTGCTGGAATGTCTATAGATGTAAGAGAGAAGCATTCACTAAAACAATAGCTTCTTATTGTTGTGACACTATGTGGAATTGAAATATCTTTAAGAGAAATACAATGACTAAAACAACCAGAAGAAAGTTCTTTAACACCGTCCAATAATGAAATGTATTGAAGCGATTCACAATATTCAAAAATACCAACACTAAGTTTATATATTAATGGGATTGAAGTTAAACCAACACAATGATTAAAACAATAGTTTCCACAATCAACAAAAGGATTTTCAATTTTTATTGAAGATAAAGATGAACAACGTTCGAAACATGCCTCTCCAATAAATGTTACTGTTGAAGGGATCTGAATTGTTTTCAACATAGAACATTGTCTAAAAGCAGTATCTCCAATAGATATTAATTCAGTAGAAAAAGATATATGAGTAATAGTAGTGAAATAAAAAAAAGCTTCATTATCAATTGATTGTACATTAGTTAAACAAAAGTTTTGTATTGAATAATTTTCTTCATAATAATTAGATGGATGATAATTTTTAATAACCCTTTTATTATATTGAAAATTATATTCAAAATCTTTTAATATGTTTATAATTTCACTGTGAAAATTTATTTGAAGATTTTTTGGGTTTTTTGATTTAATAACACTAAGTGAAGTACATCCTTTGAACATACAATCATCAAATTCTATTTCATTTTCAGGTAAATATATTTCCTTCAAATTTATAAAATCAACAAAAGCAGATTTACCTATTGAAGTAACAGAAGAAGGGATTGTAATTGAAGTTAAAGTTTCATTTATTCTATTTGATCCATTAATTTCTATTAGATTATTTGGGAGTATTGTAAACTTAGAAATTTGTTCATTAAAATCATCTTGTTGAAATACAATAGGTTCAGTAATAGTGAAATGAAGTGGATCAATTCCATCTAAACCATTTAAAGTAAATTTTGTGAAGTGAATATTTGATTTTTTTAGTTGAGTATATATTAAATAATTAAATGGTTCTTTCATAATAGGTTCTTTATTATTCCAATTTAATTCAGTTAATGAAGAACAATCAATAATAAATTCATTTTTTAGTATTTTAACAGAAGAAGGAATTTGTAATGACTCCAATTTATCTAATGCATTAAAACACCATTTTTCTATTCTAGTAACAGAAGTAGGAATTTCAATAACCTTAAGACCTTTTAAATAAGCAATTTGTTCTTGATGTAAAACTTCAATACATTCTGGTAATACAATTTTAGTAAGATTTGGTGATGGTATATAACCATCATCAATTTTAATAATTCCTTTTGGAAAAATCATTTCTTCACAATAACATGAACTCAATAAATTACCATCAATTCTATATGCAGAATTTAAAATACAAATAGACGTTGACATAGACTCTCCAAACTCTTGAATATTTCTAATTTGTTTATTTGTATTTAATAATTCAATTGGTTCAACATATTCTTGATCAATTAAAATATTAATACATTCTATTCCACTTCTTTTAAGTATTTTCTTTTCTTCTTTAGTTACTGGAAAAGGGTATTTCCCATCTTTTAATGGAAGTTCAAGTATTTTTAATTTAATGTCTGAGAAAAAGACTCTATCTCCAATAATACATTGTTTTGATAAAACTCGTAGTTCAGTTAAATTCTTACAATTTGAAAAACATAAATCACCTATAAATTCTAAATTCTTTGGAAGAATAATTTTATTAAATGCACATCCAAAAAATGCACTATTTCCTATAAATTTTAAATTAGATGAAAAATTAATATTTTTAAGTTCAATACATTGTTCAAATGCACAATCAAAAATACATTCTACTACATCATCCATTATAACACTAGTGAGATGAAAACATCCACTACATATTCCATTAGGAATTTTTTTTACTCCAGTAAATGATATTTTTCTTAATAAAGACATACAAAAAATATTTTCATCAATAAATTGAAATTGTGAAGTAATCTCAAACATTCTAATACCACTTTCAGAAAAACATCCATTTCCAAGAGAGCTAATTGAATTAGGAATATCAATTTCTTTTAATTTAACACATCCTTTAAAAACATCATTTTCAATTGAATTAAGAAATGAAGGTAATTCAACTTTTGTTAAAGACCTACAATTTGAAAAAGCAAATGATTTTATTTGTGTAACAGAATTTGGAATCTTTATATTCCTAAGTCCACATTCAGAAAAACAAGATGTTCTAATCTCTTTTATTGTATTTGGTATTATTATTGCTTTAATCCTTTCTCCTTCAAAACAACAATCTCCAAGAATACTAACTTCCTTAGGAATTATTTTTTTATCACAACCATTAAAAGAGTCTAAAACTATATTCTTGAATATACAAGTTACATCTTTATATTGTTTTGTTATTGAAGCTATATTTGAATAAGAAACAGGATATTGAATGATTAATCTAACAACCCTTTGCATAATATAATCAGTTTCATAATAAACAATTTGAGTATCTAAAAAATGAAATAAATTCTTTACAAATGATGTAATTCTAATTGGATTTACTCTAAATCTATCTAAAATAAACATGTATTTTTTAGTAGTTTGAATAATATTTATAAAATCATATTTACTTGTTAGATATTGAGTAACAATTTGAAGAGAATAAATATCAAGAGTTGTCATGAAGCAAATGAAGTTTATAAGTTTTTTTTTTGAAAAGATTTAAACAAATGAAACAATTAGTATCATTTAGTTTTTTATTCAAAAAAGTTCAGAAATGATAAACTATTATTAGAGATGTTAATCATTTGAATTTATAATATCAAAAAATATAATTCTCATTTCTTCTTTATATATATTCTCTTATTATTTTCGTTTCATTATATAAGAATTAAAATTTAAATAGTTTAATATGTATTAAAATTAATTAAATTAAATATTATTTAATATTCAAATTTGTTTTTAATAATTATTTTTTTATGTATTATCTAATTAAAATCTAATTGATTTAGTGATTTAGTTTTCTTGTTTTCTTTTGTTTCTTACTCCTTGTAATAATGATATTTTATTAATTATTTTTAAATTTCTTACTTCTCTATTAGATATTATTTTCTATACAACTTATGAATATCTTATGAAAGTAATTTTATTTTTTGTTTCTATAACAATAACTTAATGTATCAATATTATTTCATATTATCTTGAATATTTTTGAAATAAAATAACTTCTCTTCTTATATGATTATTCCTTGATTAGTATATCTTTATTATATTATAACTTTATCATCATTAAAACTTCAAAAAAATTGAAGTATCAAATCCATTGGTTCAACATAACTTAAAAAAAAACTAATCTACACCTATATTCTTATTTATAGACAAAATCCTTTTTTACTAGTTGAACCATTGTTTAATACCTTAACTAATATATAATCAATAGATGAAAATAATATATTAATGGTTTTAGTATTATAATTAATAGTTAGTATTTTACTAATAATTTGTATTAAAATTAATCCTAAGTGTCTATTAATAGAAAATATTCTTTACAAATGATTAAATATAATACATAAAAGAATGAAATATAAATTAAAAACGCTAAAACTATAAACATATAAATAGAAAAAAACAAAATAGAATATAATATAATAGAATAAATGAATTAAAAATAGAAAATAAATATCTTTTTGCAGATTCATTAAAAAACGTTAAAAATAAGTGGAAGAAGAGAAATAAATTACAAAATAAATATTAATGTTGTTGTACATACACTTGATTTTCAATTGTAGTTATTTGTTGTTTATAACAATTAAGTAAACGAATAACTACTTGACCAAAAGATTTACAATGCAATCTTTCTTGAATATCTTTTAAACGATTATAGTCTTTTTGAGAAATACGAATTTTAGGAAATTTTTTTTCAGCTTCAACACTATATTTAAGAGAATGTCTCTTTGGCTTCTTTTCTTCACTTGAGGCAATTGACCTATTAATCTTAAATGAATTAATATCAACATCAGTAAATGGATTAGTCATTTTATAAGTAAGATATGTTTTTAAGTTTATTGAGATGATTCTTTAAATATAGTCTTTTATTAATCATTAAAGTGGCTTTCATTCAGTTTCATGGGGAAAAGTAGTGAATTTCCCCTTTTCTTTCACTTTTTTTAGTCTCGAGTGAACCTTTATTCAACTCCTTTTTTAATCAAACCACTTAAAAATTCAATTTTCTCGCTTCATTTTTTCTTTTTCATTTTATCTTCTAAAAACACCACATCATCATTTTTTATTCTTTTTTTTTATTCACTTGGTATTATTGTGTATTTCCCCATTTTTCAAAGTGATTTATGGGGAAATCTCGTTCCTAAATTTCGGTATTTAAGGTAGAGTTGATTAGTTATAAATACCTTTCTTTTAACTTTGTTCCTTATTTATCAAACTAACTTAAACTGACTCAAAATAAAAAAATGACAAGTTATTTGATTAATTTTTTTTTAATTTAGATACATTTTAATCAATTTCTTGCGATCATTCTCAGACATCTCAATGTTCTTCTTTTTCTTCTCCATTTCTGCTTTTTTCTTTTTGTGAATTCTGATAACAACTAAAGTTATTATTACAACAACAACTATTACAATCATAGAAATTACTAATGAAACAGAAATCATTATGTAAAACAATACATTCTTTTCACATTTATATACCTCATAGTTTGGTGTCCCAAAAATTGAGCAATTAACAACTGTTGAAAGAACGCATAACTGATGATTACTACATAATTTCATTTCACTGTTAGTACATACATATTTTTGTGGACAATTATAACAATGCCCTTGTTCATAATATGTCCCTTCAGGACAATAAAAACATTTTGAACTGCCTTCATTAAAAGTGATTTTCATATCAGGACATACTGTACAATTGTCTTGTTGTCCCTCTATATCTGAATATGTCCCTATCGGACAATATTCACATTTCTTTTTCTCTCTATTAAAAAACGACCCAAGTTCACACTTTTTACATTTATGAGAAGAAATTACTCTTGCACCTGGTTCACACTCAACACAATGTTCACCATCAAAATATTGTAGTGGGTCATTGCATTTTTGACATGAACTACTTTTTTCTTCCATTGTAAATAATCCATCATCACATGGTCTACATTTATCTCCACGAGAAGATGTCATATTAGGGCATATTGTACATCTGCCTTCAATAATTCCATACCCATCATCACATGGATATACTCTCTGGGATTTTGTTCCAAGAAGAATAACAAAAAAGATAATTAATCTTTTCATCGATCAAATATGATTTTTTCTTTTGAGTCAGTAGTTTTTCATTAAATATAAATATTATTATAATAATATTTTATAGTTTTATATTTATATGAAATAATCTATTTTTTTTAATATAAACAATAAGAAATGGGAGTTTGTTATCATTCTATAACAATATCCTTGTGTTTAATGATAATTATGTTATCATTAAACTGGTACCTTCCACCATTAAAAGCAACAAAACCAAATCCAGTGTATTTACCTAAAGAGAGATTACTTGTTTCTCATCGTGGAGGTGTTTACTATTATCCAGAGAATACTATTGAGGCAATGAAGGATTCATATGAACAATTTAATGTTGATATGATTGAAACTGATATTCAGATGACAGCTGATAATAATTTTATTATTCTTCATGATGACTTTTTGGATCGTACCACAAATGGAAGGGGTAATGCCAGTTATTATACACTTAGTAAAATTCAACAACTTGATGCGGGTTATAGATATTCTCCAGATGGAAAAACTTTCCCATTTAGAGGAAAAGGACTTAAAATCCCTTCTCTTCAAAATGTTTATGACTCATTTGTTAATTCAGGATTAAAGTTTAGTATTGAAATAAAAAACGAAGATCCAAAAGTTGTTGACGTTCTTGTACAACGTTTAAGAACAATGCCAAAAGCAAAAGGGTTCATGTGTTTCTCTTCAGGATGGCACAAAGTTATTGAACGTTTTAGGTTCCTTACAAAGAATACATTTTGTACAGTTGCTAGTGAACATGAAGTTATTCAATTAATGGTATCAGTTAATCTAGGTATACCTCGTCTGTACTACCATTTCTTCCCACTTAAAGCTCATATTATTCAAGCACCATTTACTTCTGTTGGAGGTGTCAATTTTAATGACAAAAAATTTCAGGTTATTGCAGAAGAACTTGGAGTAAAATTAGTATTATTCACCATTAACAATGGTTATGATATTGCAAATTGCCTTTCTAATGGATGTCAAGGAGTTATGACTGATAGACCAGATATTGCAGTTAGAGTTATGGAATTAATGGGTTTAAGAAAATCATTTAAAGAGTCATATCAGAAGTTTGGCAAAGAAGTTGAAACAACAAGTTGGGACTGTACGGCATTTTCATGTTTAGTTATTGATACCTTAGTTGGAGTCTTACCAGCACAAGTGACTTTCTTCATAATTATCTTTTTCCTTGTGTTTTTAATCCTCTCCTTTCTTAATATTATTAAATGGATCTGCTGTTGTACCACCAAGAGCAAAGTTGATTAGTTAATTATTATTGCTTATTAAAAAATTAGTTTTGAATTGTAACAGAAAAAACAAAGAGATGAATAACAAAGTAAATACCCTTCTCTTCCGTTATCCACTAATAAAGATAATGTTTGATGATCTGTAAACTAGAAATGTTTACTATTTATTTTAATATTACTTGAATAAAAATAAGCCTTAATCAATTTCAAACACTAATAAATAAACAAACTTTATAATAATTCTAAGCTATGTTTATATTATCAAAAAATTAAGAGGTTTTTATTCAAATATAATTTATGAAGAAAGGATTTAAATCTAATTATTTAGAAACCTACAGTATAATTATTGTCTTGTTTTCTTCAGTCAATAAATTAGGTCAAAGATTTTTCATTTAAGTATAACTGAAGCAATAAAACCTTTTAATATTAATGAGTGGTTGTAGAAATATATCAATTTTAGATATAGTTAAGCATCTTGTTCTTCTTTTTTATCATTTAAATGATTCCTTTTCAATGAAAAACAAAAAACTTAAATGTATTGTTTGAATAATTGAATTTAATACTTTATATATAATCTTGACTCAAAAGACAATATTATGAAAGCATTATTAGTTTATTTTTTTGTTTGGACTATTTCCGCTTTAGTGTATAAAAGAATGATAAATAGTGAAATAAATGTCTTTAATAAATGAAGAGTTGTTCTGCTTAGTTTATAGTGTATTTATTATTTATGAATTCTTCTCTTATTTTTTTCAGAAATATAATATACAATAATATCAAATACTCTAACTTATTCAAAACATTAATTAATGTAAAATATTCTCTATTTTAATACATATGTAGTTATATTAAATTATATTAGTTTATACACAAACTTATTCAATGAGATTTCCATTTATATTTATTTTAATAATGTAAATATCAAATTGATATGAACTTCAGTAATGAAACTAAATAAATTATTATCTTATGAAATAAAATCAAAAATATTTTCTATTGAAATATCATAAAGTCTTAATAACTTTAAATATAACATAATTAGGTAGAATCATTTGTTTAAGAATGAATACCAGAGTATTATATTTATGAACTAGATTATTACTTGAAATAGTTTTATGTTTAGTTTTCACAAATATTAGAAAAACAATGAATTTAATCATTATGCTAATTACTATGCTATAAATCTACATGAAGAAAAAGAGATGATATTGATTGAGATGATATGATTAATACTAATGAACATTTTATTCATTTTCAGATGGTCAAGAATAAGAGAACACTAATTTTCTTGATCAATTAGAATATTTTATAAATTTAAATAGAAAATAATAATATATGAAAATTTATGATATTATGTCATAAATAAAATACAGCAAATATTATTTTGTTTTAATTAATAGAACATCAAAATTAAACATTATAATGCCGTTTAATAACCAATAGTATTAAAATAAAGAATAGATTTATTACTTTTTTAATTCTCTTTTTAATATTCCCTCTGCTAAACAAATAACCTCTGCATAGTCTTTTTGTTTTTCATTTAAAGTTTCTATTTCTTTTTCCATTCTTTCAATGTCTCTCTTCAGCTCTCTATTTTCTAAATCTGTTATGATCTTTTTTTGTTTTAATTTCATAACTTCTTCAATAATGTCATTCATATTACATTCTTTGTCAATTCCAAGTGCTCCTTTAATTCCATTAATTAAGCTTATTCTTTCTTCTTTCATTTGTTCAATAATCACTTTATGGATTTCTAATAATGACTTCTGTTGTTGTCTTTCTTGTGACTGCTCTTCTTTCATTTCATTAATTCTTTTTTTCATTTCTTCAATCTCTCCACTATTCTTTTCAAATGAATTAACCATCTCCTCTTTACTTTCTTCAAAACAATCAAGAACTTCTTTTGAAATATCTTTTCGTTGAATAATTTCAATTGTTTTCAACGACTCATCTGTTTTGTTGAGTATGCTATCCATTTTTTGGTCTAACATTTGAATTATTTTATCATTCTTTTTCTCTAATTTTATCATTCTCAATTTTAATTGAGATGCTTCATCCAGTTTTTCTTTAAGCATTCCATTTTTTACATCAAGTTGTTTTTTCAATGCATTTTTCTCACCTGTAGCTACCTTGATAGATCCTTCCATACTACTTATTGCAACTTCTTTTTCTTGAATAATCTGTTTTAAAATATGATTTTCTTTTATTTGTTCTTCTTTAAGGGAATCGGCTTTTAATCTCTTTTGTTTTTCATTTTCAATTTGTGCCTTAAGTGCCTCATTTTCTTTATTGATAGTATTAATTCTTTCCTCATAAACTCGTTTTGAACCAACAAGATCTCCAATACTCATGCTAGTGAATTCATCACGATGCATATCAGTCCCCTTCATTATTTACAAGAACTAAGATGTTGTATTTCTTTCTAAATATAGAATAGACTACAAAAATCTTTTTACCTTTCTAAAAATAGAAAGAAATATAATAATTTAATAAAATAACAAATATTTCCATAAAAAAAAATAAAAATATTTTAAATAAATGTATTATTATTCACTCAAATCTCTTGATTGTTTATCGCTTGTATCCGATTTACTACTTGAGGAAGAAAGAGTTGACGAAGAATCAGTTTCAGTTGAACTATCTTCGGACTTTTTATTTTCTTCTTTTGATTCTTCTTCTTTTGATTC